AATCATAAATAATGCCACAATGTTTAAAAATAATGTCAATTAAACTTAAAAATGTTGCTGGAAACAGTCTTGTTAATAACAAAAACTCAAGAACTGATCTTCATTAAATTATAGGTCATCAGGGATGCTTTCCATCTATTTTATGTTCACATAATTCTTTTGAGACTGGTACAGCAGACTTACTATAATCTTCTTGTTTTGTGATAGAAAACTTAAAAGTAAATGATAAATAATTACATTTGTATATACTTGGGAAAACAAACTTCACTGGTGAATATAAAATTTATTACCCTGTGAACATCTTTACATCCTGGGTGTAAGTCTCACCTTTTTGTTTAAAACTTACTGTAGTTGCAAAGAGAATACAAGTGGAATTGAGAGGTTTACAGTCTTTGAAGATCTGCTTGCCCTGAGCAGAACAAGCTAGTAACTATCAAATTACTAATCTGTGGAGAAAGAACTCCAGCTTATCCCTTTCTACAGCCATAGATGAAAGATGTTTCATTGACCCATCAGATTGCGTACACAGTACAATATAATACTGATGACGATTATCTGACATTATCATAAATACAAACATTGTCTTATGAAACGTCTCATATTTATTGCCAGATGAGCTAGGTAGGAATAAGATTGCTATATTGCAATTCATGGAAAATCACTTTGATGAAGTTAGATTAACCAAAGTTTCTATCTATTCCACTATCCAATTTTGCTTCCAATCAGTGTGATCTTTTATTAACAAAGCTTGTTTTATTTTGTTTTGAAACAAAGTCTTACTCTAATTCCCAGGCTTGAGTGAAGTGGTATAATTTAGTTCACTGCAGCCTCAAACTATAGGACTCAAGCCATCTTCCTGCCTTATCGTCCCCAAGTAGCTAGGATTACAGACATGTGTCACCTTGCCTGGCTAATTTTTCTTACTTTTTAAAAGGTGTATTGTCTAGCTTATTTCAGAAATCCTGGCCTCAGGAAATCCTATTATGTCGGCCTCCCACAACACTGGGAATACAGGCATGGGCCACTGAGACTGGCAATATTTTTTTTTTCTTTGAAAAAGAAAACTTCCTTTTCTAGGGATTGGTGTAGGTGAAAAGACAAAAAATAATCCTTAAGATGTCCCCCGTGTACTGAAAACCTCAGAGCCTTGTATCTTCTGTTTTCACCAAGTTTTCTAAAGGTATCATTTACATACACTAAATTGTACAAGTTTTAAGTTTCTCTCTTGAGTTTTAATAAATGTACATATCTCTATAATCTATGTTTTTATCTATATGCAAATCATTTCCTACCCAAAGTTAGGTCCTGCCTATTTCCAATTTTCTTCACTCCCACAGAAGCAAACACTAGTCTGATTTCTATCTACCTTTATTAATTTTGCCTGTTGTAAAAATTCACATAAATGGAATTACTGAGTGTGTTCTCTTCTGTGCCTGAAATCTTTCATTCAGCATGCTGATGAGATTTCTCATGTCATTGTCTCTATCAAAAATGTGTTATTGCTAAGTGGAATGCTACTGCATAAATAAAATACAATGCTTATCATTTTTTTTTTTTGGAAAGATATTCAGGTTGTTTCCAGTTAGGGAATAGCTGGAATAAAGCTGATAAGAGCATCTTTGGCCAGGCATGGCAGCATGGTGGCATGGTGGCATGCACTCAGGAGGCTAAGGCAAGAGGCTTGCTTGAGTCTATGAGTCTGCCGTGAGCTGTGGTTGCAGCACTGCACTCTAGCACTCCTGCCGGGATGACAGCATGAGACGCTCTCTCCAAAAACACAACAAAAAAATTCTGCACAAATCTCTGTATATAAATATTTTTTCATACTATTCCATAAGGACTAAGTGCTAACCAGGGGAAAATGTGTAGATACATTATTCATAAATTTGGGCTGGGGCATAATACTATCAAATTCAGTTCAAAATCATAAAATGCGAATATGAAAGGCAATCCTTTAATGAGCTAATCCAAATGCTGACTGCTAGGTATCAGGTGTAAAAGCAGTTGCTCAGCATAAAAATACCCAAAAGACTTCTCATTAGCTGGTCATTCTCTAGGTTCTTCGGCTGTCAATGTACAATGCAGAAGAGTATAAATACATCTTACCTGAGTTCTCATAAGCTAGGCATGACTAAAGGAGCTACAAAGAGGAAATTCAGGATCTGCCTTTTTATGTTTCCAATTATTTAGAAAATCATGCTTCTAAAAGGTAAAAATGGAGGAGTACAGTGGCAAAAATAATGAATTCTACAATAAAATCCCTAGATTTTATAACAGATTTTAGATACTTATCAGTAATATGACCGTGGGAAAGTTATTCTTTCCATGCCTGAGTTTCTCCCCTCCTGTCAAATTGAGAGAATAGCAATTCATACACTATGTATGAAATTAAATTTTATAATGCACATTAAGTATTTGAAATATTTTTAGGAAAATATTTAATTAATTGTAAACATTGATAAATATTTCCACTTATTATTATTCGCTATTAGTCTGTATTAATACTTGTGCTGATATGTGGTATGGCTTCTATTTAAGGATCCTGGTATCTGCTATGTAACTGTTATGCAGCAAAGTCTCTGTCATAAGTGGCTAATAAAAGTATGGTTATAACTTCCTATTTTTAACAAAATAACCATTGAAAAAAATCTCTGTCTTGCAGTTTTCAAAAGTCACTCATTCGAGGTAGTATTTTATGCCCTGGATCAGATATTTTATATTTTCTTCATCTGAAAAGAGAGAGAAAGAGAACGTGTCAGTGGCTGGGGGGAGAATGAGAGAAAAGTGTAAGAGTGTGAAGCAGAATAAAATAAATGTGTGTTAGTAATGCAGCAGTCTGCCCTACTTCCGTGTAAAAAGGTTGAGATATTCTGAAAGGATGATTTCAAATGGCATAAGTGATGATTGGTTGATATCTTGAAATACTAGGTGGTTTTCTCTCTGCTTGGTGTTGTCATAGCTCAGGTGAAAGTTGGAGATTTCAAATTATTATAGTTCTTTTAAAACTGAATAACATTTATTCTTCCTAACTTTAAAACTTCTAAGACAGTTGTTCTCAAACTTCCTAATGTCATGACCCTTTAATATAGTTCCTGATGTTGTGGTGACCCCGAACCATAAAATTATTTTCGTTGCTTAGCAAGAAGCAACGAAAACTGCAAGACATGCAAGACAGAGATTTATTTCATTACTTAGTAATGAAAATAATTTTATGGTTGAGGGTCAACATCAACATCAGGAACTGTATTAAAGGGTCACAGCATTAGGAAGGTTGAGAGCCACTGTTCTAAGAGTTACAGTCAAAAAGTACAATTTGTATAAATATAAATAAAAAGAGAGAGAGAGCCTTTGCTAAAAGTACTACTTTCAACTGCCTTCTTGAACAACTAAATCAATGTGTTTCAGTAACAGAAAATGACTAATTTTATAACTTGAAATATGTTTTTAGAAAGAAGCTATTTTTATTTTAAACTGTTATTTGATATGCTAAAAAAAGTAATAGTCATTTTTAAAAGGTGTCATATGCCTTTTTTATTATTAAATCATAGCTGTGTGCAACAATGCAATAATGGGGTACAGTGTGGTGTTTTCATATGCAATTTGAAATATTTTCATCAAACTGGTTAACATAGCCTTCATGTCATTTTCTTAGTTATTGTGTCTTGACACAATATTCTACTAGACCCTATATTCTACTTTTAGAAAGATTCACTTGTACCTTGTAAGATAAACCATAGAGGTGCTCCCTCCAATAACCCTCCCTCCACCCATCCACTTCCCTTCCCTCTTTCTCCCCCCTCCCAATATTTTTAGGCTATAATTAGGTTATAGCTTTCCTATGAAAGCTATAAATTAGTTTCATAATACGGCTGTGTACATTGGATACTTTTTCTTCCAATCTTGAGATACTTTGCTAAGAAGAACATTTTCCAGCTCCATCCATGTAAACATGAAGGAGGTAAAGTCTCCATCTTTCTTTATGGCTGCGTAGTATTCCATGGTGTACATATACCACAATTTATTGATCCATTTGTGAGTTGATGAGCACTTGGGCTTCTTCCATGACCTAACAATTATGAATTGGGCTGCAATAAACATTCTGATACAAATATCTTTGTTGTAATGTGACATATGCTTTAATTTGATCTTGTTCTTTTGGTGGTGCATATGTGAAGATGTCAGCCACTCTATTGTGGAAGGACTGCCTAAGTGTTGAATAATTATGGTTCTCAAAATTTCTCAGTCATTTCCTGATCTAAAAGAGAGCATACTGAGCTTGGAAGTTTCACTTGTCTCGGAATCTATACCTTGAGCCTTGTGACTTAGTGCTTCTTAGAGTATGAATAATATAATTGCTTCAGCTCAGCACTTTAAATTTTATGCTAATTCAACCATTCTCTTCCAGGATATGGATGAGAGGCAGATGAGTGATATTTTTTTTCTTTGTGAAAAGAAAAATCAGACCTAAGGAACTTATTTTATACCTTTAGGATGGAAAAAAATTGGAATCTTAATGCTGCCTCCAGTTATGTATTAGTTTGTAGTACAACTTGTCTCCTCCCATTCTGGAGCATTATCTCCAATCTTCTTTGCAGTATTAGGGAAAGAAAAGAGAGAAGGTATTACTTTTTTGTAGTTAAAAGTTTGTTAAGTTAACAAGGTAAAAGCTATATATACAGAACAGTTAAAAGCTCAAAAGACATAGATATAAATTATGTGGTCAGAACAACTGGCATTAAAGAAGAATTAAATTCTTAATTTTTTCTGCTTTATAATTATTTTTCTAGGAAATTTGTGTGTTCTATAAAAGGTGAGTAACTGCCCCACAATTCAGGTATTTATGACTTATCTCAGACCATTTTATTCATGGTCTTCATTCCTTCTACTTCATAATGTCAAAATCAATGGTTAGAACTTGACTAAGAGGAAGGAATAATGACTCCTTTTCTATCATCCTGTATCATAGCCATTTGACAGACTTTGGCCACCTCTCTGCAGCAATGTCCAACTATACGTCCATTCACTTCACTGCCTTTCTGCTGATGGGTGTCCCAGGATTAGAAGACTTCCAAGTTTGGATTTCCATTCCTTTTGGCTTCATGTACCTCTTGGCTGTGATAGGCAATGGCCTGGTTATGGCAGTGGTGGCCTGGGACAGAAACCTCCATAAACCCATGTATTTCTTCCTGGCCATGCGCACTCAACGATGTCCTACTTTGTACTGTCACGGTCCCCAAAATGCTTCTCATATTCTGGCAAGGCCCTTCCCTGTCGACATTCCCTGCCTGCCTCACACAGATGTTTTTTGTTCATGCTCTGTTCCTGTCTGAATCTGCTATTCTACTGGGCATGGCCTTTGATCGTTTTGTGGCTATCTGTGCACCACTTCATTACACTACCTTACTTACAGGCTCTCTCATTGGCAAGGTGGGCCTGGCCCTGGTGGCTCGGAGTGTGGTTGTCGTCACTCCTGGTGTCCTGCTCATTCTCCGGCTGCGCTTCTGCAGAAGTAATATCATCCGCCACACCTACTGTGAGAACATGGGCATTGCCAAACTGGCCTGTAACAGCATCACTCCTAACAGCATCTATGGGCTGACTGCTGCTCTTCTCACCACAGGGCTGGACTTTGTCCTCATCTCCCTCTCCTACTGGCTAATCTTAAGAACAGTCTTCCAACTACCTTCTAGGAAGGCCCAGACAAAGGCCTTACGAACCTGTGGAGCTCATATATGTGTCATCCTGGTGTTTTATATTCTGGCCTTCTTTTCCTTCTTTACCCACCGCTTTGGGCACCATGTATCTAGGCAAACCCTTATCCTCCTGGCGAACCTCTACTTATTGGTGCCACCTACCATGAACCCCATTGTTTATGGGGTTAAGACCAAAGAGATAAGAATGCGAGTACTAGGGCTCTGTAGTCCACTGAAATGATCAGAATGATGAGGCAACAAGGTACAGGAGAATCAGGGTTGGAAATTGTGTCAGTGCAATTCTCAAAAAGAGGAAATCATGGGAAATGATCTGAACTTTGTTCATTGAATTCATTTGTCTATTTTTTAAATCACATGCAATTTTCCTGATCCAGCTCCTCTTACATCAGGCATCCTTATTAATTATATTTTATATTACTGGAGACATACTTTATCACCTATAAACCTATCTTTCATCATTCCTTCAATGTAATCCCTCTTCACCACAAGAAAATATTCACCTCTAGAATAATAAAAGAAATAAGATCTTTCTCTGCCAACAAGATAATAAAACATGTGTCATGAATATAATACTAATTATATACATGTATTGTACATATGGTCTAGTGGTTGAATTAATTGGATTGAGTATCTTGAAAAAATGATATTATTCACCTTACAAATATGAAATGGATATTGCTAGATTTGTGTGTAGTCAGGTGGTTACTATGCTGCTTTTAATGATGTTCTCATTGTTCAAATTTTTATATTGAATGATTTAACAACTAAATTGGATAATGAATTGTTTTGCAACAATGCTTTATAATGAATAAAGCAGCATGTACTTGGAGGGTAAAAAGGATAACAGTGTTCTCTGATATTATTTTTCTTGCTATCATGTCTTGCCACAAAATGCCTTTTGCAGCATAAAGATATTAAGTGCATAATCCTAAGGGTAGCATTTGACCTTCTGAAAACAAGTGTATTACTTCTTACCTAAAGATATTTTAAAGACTTTTTTTTTATTTAAAGACTTTTTACCTAAAGATAGAGGGTTAGAATGGAAAACTGAAAATTGTTATTTGAGCTTCTGGATATCTTAACAGATTCTGCCAAAATGCAGAGAATGCTTTCAGAATTCATGGGATTAACTAACAAGGTAATATGAATGAGAATGTCTCCTAATTTTTAGACTTATATGCAAATCAAATAGATGCTCCAATTATATTATTCTAAGTTGAGGCAGGACCAAAAAACCTCCTTGCTTCATAAGTGCTAGCTATGTACTAGAATACTGAACTCTAGCCATTATTAAGTTTCCAAAAACCAGATAATGCATCTATTCTCAATTCATTCTTTTTTTAAATTTCAAATCAATATGACAGTAAAAATTCTTAGATGATTGTTCTCACTTCCAGGGTAAAGTTTCCGCTGTAAAAGAGCCCCTCATTCGGGGGAAGTAATATCCACCCTCACAATGTGCACATTAAGTGAAATTCTGCCTCATGTCGCCCTCCTTCTGCCACTCGTCCACCATGCTTGCCCTTCCCACCCTCTCCCCCCCAACCCAGGTACTAGAATATATTTGTATTTTATTGTTCATATAAGCATGTAATTTGTTATATATTGGTTTCATATTATTATTGAGTACGTTGTATATTTATTTCTCCATTCTTGTGATATTTTACTAAAAAGAATGTATTTCAGCTCCATTCAGATAATGTAAAAGATGTAACGTCTCCATCTTTTTAGTGGCTAAATAGTATTCTATAGTATACATATACCACAGTTTGAACAAAAAATTATTTTACCACAAAGACATTTGCACCAAAATGTTTATTGCAGCTCAAATCGTAATTGCCAAGTCATGGAAGTAACCAAAATGCTCTTTAGCCCGTGAATGGATCAGCAAACTGTTCCCACTTCATAATACAATATTTCCACCACTTACTCATTCATATATTCAGTCACTTGAATCGTCAATAACTGTGTTTGACTGGGAAAGATCATTTTACTTTTGGAAATATGTTTTATGATTGTTTTAAGATATGTTTTATAGACATATTATAATTCTAATAATAAATTCAACAGCTGTTATAGTAGATGATAATGTATAAAGTCAAAATTTTGGTAAGTACTGTAAATATTCACATAAATAACAAAACATGAATAAAAAATAAAATCTAGGATTCAATATTTTAAATATAGTTCTATTAAGAAAAAATTAATAAAACTTTATTTTTTATAGTATAATCACTAGAAAAGGTGTGTTAAACATTCATACATTATACTTCACCCAGGTAAATGCACGAGAAGTAAAGTCTCCATCTTTTCCTTTGGTTGAATAGTACTCCATGGTATACAGTTTGTTAATCCACTCATGAGCTGATGGAAACTTGGATTGCTTCTACAACTTGGCAATTGTGAATTGAGCTACAATAAACATTCTGCTGCAAATTTCCCTGTGGTTAAATTATTTTATATTCTTCTGATTACGTATCTACTAATTGGATTACAAGATCAAATGGAAGGTCAACTATTAGTTCTTTGAGAATTCTAGATATTTCTTTCCAAAGAGGTTGTACTAGTTTGCAAGCCCACCTGCAATGAAAAAGTGTTCCCTTCTCTTTATATCCACGCCAACACCTGCTGGTTTGGGACTTCTTAGTAAAGTATCTCAAGAATGGAGGGGAAAAAAGTATCCAATGCACTTAATACTAATACAAACCTAATATATAAACAGCTACATGCCCACACCAAAGAAAAAATATAAATATAGTATAGCAAGGAAGAGGGGAGTAAAGAAGGGAAGGGACAAGGGAGAACAATTAATGGGATCTTACCTAATGTGTAACATATGAGGGTGTTTTAGCACACCACCTGGGTGAAGGGCTCAACTACAACTTGAACTTTACCTTAGAAGTGAACACAATGTAACCTCAACATTTGTACCCTCATATTAATTTTAAAGAAAAAAAGAAAAAAATCCATACATTAAAAATATATTCTGCATTTGAACATCTTATTTTAATTATCTTTATTTACTTATGTATGTATTTATTTACTGAGACAGAGTCTCATTTTGTTGCCGTCAGTAGAACACTGTGGCATCATAGCTCACAACAACCTCCAAATCTTGGGCCTAAGCAATTCTCTTGCTTCAGCCCCCTCAGTAGCTGGGACTACAGGCACCTGCCACAACTCCTGGCTTTTTTTGTAGAGACAGGGTCTTGCTCTGGCTCAGGCTGGTCTCAAACTCCTGAGCTCAGGGCAAGCAGTCCCCAAGTTACAAACATCCAACTGACATATTCACATTTACAAGTGAAGGCTATTACAAGTAATAGATAAATATACCTGCTGTAACTTATATAAAAATTTAACTTAAGAACAAACCTAGAAAACCTACCTTGTTAGTAACCTGGAGACTGATTGTAAATAGTTAAACATTATCTGTACAATTTATATCTGGTGGTAAAGTTACTAGTCGCAAAATCTTTTCTTATCAGTCTTAACTATTTCTTATATCAAGAGTATTGTCTCACTTTTATTTTGATAATTCTTGCATTATTTTTAGATGATATGTTTTCAATCAAGGGGAATATCCTGAAAGAGACTTGTAATTAGGAGAATGAAGAAATAGAACAAAGAGGGGTAGGAATAGACACATCTCAATTAAAATTAAAATCCAGGAGCAGACAGAAGTTTATGGGATTTCCATGTGTAAATCACATGCCTAAAATTTGAAATCCTACTATAAATTCATAAGATCTCTTTTATTATATATGATGTAGGGTCATGACATTTCAGAATTTAAAAAGTATATGTAGAGACAATCAATTTTGTTAACAATTGATTTATTTCTTTATCACTTATACATTAGTTAATTGTCAAATGTCTCAGTCACACCAAGGGCAGTGCTAAGTTTTGCATTTCTTGCTGTATAACGGTTAGAATAATATATGAGAAAACACACTACCTATTATTAAGTTCTATGCAAATATGAAGTGCTATAAAGCACTCTTAAAGTCTTCTTATCCTCTTGTTCCTTGTACAAGTAGAGATATAAACTAAGAAAATTCATTAAATTTACAATTATCCCACTCTGTGCACAGTCATGTATTAGATAATTTCAGAGACACAGTGAGAGTGGTATAAATTGGCAGTGCCCATAGCTCAGTGAGTAGGGTGCCAGTCACATACACCGAGGCTGGTTAGTTCAAACCCAGCCCAGGGCAGCTAAAACAACAATGACAACTGCGACAAAAAAATAGTCAGGGGTTGTGGTGGGGTCCTGTAGTCCCAGCTACCAGGGGAGCTGAGACAAGAGAATCACTTAAGCCCAAGAGTTTGAGGTTGCTATGAGCTGTGATGCCACAGCATTCTACTGAGGGCAACATAGTGAGAGTCTGTCTTGAAAAAAAAAAGTGGTATAAATTGAAAAGTGTTCTTGATGAAAATTAAAGAAAAGTCCTATATTATCTGATTCTTGCTACAACAAATTTGTAAGTAGCTATACCTCAGTGAGCTACATTTTTGAATATTCAAATGAATAGTATACCTTACCCTATTTTTAAGATACATTTAAACCAATGTATTATAATCACTGAGTTAACATGATAATATGTGAGGTCTTTTAAAAATTACTAGGTCTGAGCTTTCTATGAAGTTAAAATTATTTCCAAAAATTAATTAAAAGGAAAACTGTGGAGCTTGTCCCTTCCTATTCCTGAAGGGAATAGGAATAACTTCACCAGTTATTTAAACCCCCTCAAACAGGGCAGAATATGTACATGAACATTTAAAAGGTGATGCAGATGACCCCTGTAGGTTGATAACTTCTGCTTCAAGCCATAATATGCTTTTATATCAATTCAAAATCACATCATCTTTAAGACAAATAGAGTAAGTAGAATTAAACACAGCAACTATACAATTAAAAGGTAGTATAAAATTCTATGACAAGTATAGAATACATATATATGTATGTGTATGTATATTTGTCTATGTCAAATATATATATAAGTATATATATATATATATTTGGTATAATCAAGAAAAACTTCATGCATAAATTCTGGGATTACATATAGGAGAGAATCAATAGAACTGATTTCCAAAAAAACTGTTTTTGTAGTCATAGAAAGGATTTATGAATCACAGGACATGAAGCTGTATAGTCACAGAGGAAACCAACTTGCTCCTTTAGAACCTCTTTATGATTTTCCATTGGCTCTATTTCTG